TAAATACAATATGTCTCATGAGTAAAGGATGGTAGTGCAGTTAGTGCTGCTTGCACCCGTTTAGTTCTTTGCCTGGCAAGCCCCTCTTGTGTTTAGTTTCCTTTAAAGCTGGATTGTAGCTCTTTACAGTTGGTGCTTGGTCCTGATGTCTTTTCAGTTTTTCTAGGTTAAGAGATACAGGGAAACTCATGAAGATCACATTAATTTCAAATGTCTGTCCCAGAGTTCTGACTAACAGTTCAGACTGATAGTTAATTGTACTTTGTATGGCTTTCCAACAAAACTGAGTAGTAGCAGAGTCACCAGAGGTCTCTTTTTGGAAACTTGGGAAGCTGATTCCACATTATTTCTCTAAGCCATATCTGTAAGATCAGATAGTGTTGTGGGGGTGGGGAAGGGGGAGTGGAGGCAGGGCTACTTAAGAATCCATATAGATGAAGTACTCTGATAGTGGACTGAAAAGCAAAATGTGGTGACTCTCAGAAACTGAGAACTTAAATTCTATAATCTTAGCTTCCCTTCATTCATCCTTTGCAAATAATTTTCAAGCATGGGAGAAGTGTGTGTGTGTGTGTGTGAGAGAGAGATTAATACCAAGATAAAGCAATGAGTTGACATTTTAATCTTACTTTTGTTGAGCGGCTCAGGGAACTTCCAGTATTCTACAGCCATCTTAACTTAGCTTACATCCTGGTTGGACCAGAGTAACATAGTGGTTTTAAGATGTCTGGCATTGGGGAGTACACTTGGATGTCAGTAGAAAAGGATTAAAATGTTTGTCCTATTCTGTGACTGGTGAGAAGATCATTTTGGATATTGAGAGTGTCACTTGTGTGTTAAAGTAATTGAGCCAATGCTACTGTTGCTGCCTGGTCAGGAAGGTGAAGTGCAGAATTGTCTGAGACCTTGTCAAGCTACCTAGATACAAAGAAGACTAGAGGTGAGTAAGGTCACAAGCTGGTTATGCGAGATGCATGTAAATATGTTGTTATGTATGTAAGTAAGATAAACTTGCAGTATAATAACAATGTTGATACTGTGAGCTCATTCCCATGGATAGGCATAACATTCAATCCTGACTTTCAGTTAAGTGTTTGAGAAGATAGCTGAAATTTGTTGAAGCTACCTTAATTTTTACATTTCCATACTTCCCAGTTTTGTTTTAAAATTCTGACTTATGCTGAAAAACTGTAATGCCCCTTCATTGTCATTAAATCTTAGCTTATACATATAAGTCTGAGGGGCATTGCTATCATATAGAGGTGAGCATAAAGAAAGCTGTAGACTTTGGCAGCTTTCATGGTAGGTGCTGTGACATGCTCCATCTCTGAGATGCAGGTTAATCCTGACCCATGACTTGAAATTGGATCTGGCAACTCCACTACTGAACTCTTGGGTAACCTTTGGTGAGTCACTTCAACTCCTTTTGTTTCTCAGACTGTCTGAGGAAGATGATGCTGACCTGTGTATACATTTTTTTTATTTCTATAGATGAAAAGCTGCCAAGTCAGAACAACCTCTCTGTGGCCTTGGGCCTTGCTGAGCAAAGCAGAATAAAGTAGAAGTGGAGTTTCTGAGCCAAGTTGCTTTTCATAATAGTTGGTGCAGAAAGGTCAGAAAAATATTCATAAAGCAAAATATCCTTCTATCTTCCAGACTAGCTAATTCTGTACATTTTCCCCCAAGCTCCTAGTCGAGCCAAGGATCATGTCCAAATTTCCACTTTTGTGTTACAGTAAAGTTTACAATTATAAAAGGAATGAAATACTCAGTTATGGTGGGAATGCCTCTATAATAGATCCAGTTACAGACTTTTGTTTTAAATAACTTGGGGCCTAGTTTTACAAATAGAAAATGCCTTAGACATTTAAACAAGAAATTTGCTAAAGAACCCAAAGAACTATGCAGTAGACAGCGTTCTCCTTTACTGTTTGATAAGAAGCTGGGGCAAATACAAAGTTTTTCCTGGACTTTCAGGGTGATAATAGGCCTGCTAGCATTAATCTACAGTGAGAGTTGTAAAGAGTAAATCTGAGCAGGCATTCTAGATGGCCGTTCTTCCAGATACATGCAGTTAGTCGGAGGGATATTAGAATTGATGCTGTCACAAGATTCACAAATTTTAGGGGCCAGAAGGGATCATCCCACTTAACCGCGTGTATGAGACAGGCCAGAGAACCTCACTATATCAAACCCTGTAATGTGCTTTTGAGCAGTTTTCTAGGGCCAGATCTTCAAGAGGAAGCAACTAGTTGCTGAGAATCTGGCCTCCAGTCTTGATTTAGACCTGTTGTGACAGGGGATCCACCACAATATTCTGTATGTTATTCCAGCTATTAGTAACCTCATTATGGGCAACTTGTCTTGCTTCCACTTCAATTTTTTGAGCTTCTACTTGAAATCATTGGATCTTGTCATATCTTTGACTACTGAATTAAAGGATCCTCTGCTATCTAATGTTTTCTCCCCATGTAAGTGTCTGGTGACTCTTTATCTTCCCTTACAAGCAAGCTAAATAGATTGGATTCCCTACGTTTCTTACCATTTTACATTTCCCAGACATATGTTCATCATCATTTTTGAAGTGTGGACTTTAAAACCAGACATAGTGTTCCAACATCATTGCTCTTTACAAAGGCTATGCCTACTTTGGCCTCATTTCCATGCTAATGCTTTCATTAGTCACTTTAGACCATCTAACCATAATGTTGCACTCTAGTAGCTTGTCCTTAAATTAAGAAGGTTTCCAACTTTAGAAGAGTTAAGTTCTGGAATTGTAATAATAGAAGGAAACATGATTAGTTAATATAGACCTTAAAAAGTTTATGAACAAGATTATGCAATGTAATTACCTGCAATTACAGGCTAATTGAGGTAACTTATTGATGCCAAGGGGTTCTTCCAATTCTGTGTTTAGCTGAAAGTGTGTGTGGGGGGGAGGGGTGGTTGTTTTGTTTTGTAGGGGGGGGTTCGGTGGTGTCGTTCCCCCCCTCATCCTCCCACCCCCTGCCAGCATCACTGCTTTCAAGGAAAAATCCCCTATTTTTAAGTACCACTCAAATGCATGCGTCTAAGTGTTGGTATGAAACTTTCTCGAAAAAAGGGGAAAATTGGACGAAGTAAGTGACAGTATTTGAGTCAGTTGAGCTTTTGGCTTCTTAATCATACTAGTACTTTTGGATGCTCGTAGTTCTGCAACTGTCGATGCTTGGAACTTCCTCTATGTTGTTCCTGAAGAGAGGGTTTAAGCTTGGGTCTGTGAGGATTTATGTAACTCCTAAATAGGCTTTTGTGATTAAGACAGGTACACTCAGGCAATGCGTGTTCCAGATGAATGTATATTATTTAAGCACATACTTTATGACGTATGCATTATAGTAGGGTTTGGAATAAAAGTTGGAGGGAGAAAGAGAGAGGGTGAATGGGGATATGACTGAAAATGAGCTAGCCATGAAGAGGAAAGAGCTCTGAACTGTGGGTAAGCATCTGTATTTGGGAATTGGGGCTTCCAACAACTGGACTTCAACTGGAGGCGTTGCTTAGTAGGCTGTGGAAGTGTCAGGTAGGTGTGTAAATTTATGTATACATTACATATGCTAATCAAACTATTGCACATTATATACAGGGTACGTGACTCCAGTATGGGAGCTCTAACATACAGAAGGAAAGCATTCTTTTTTTGAGTCGGGAGTTGTGGGGAGAAGGGGAGAGGACTTCATATGTAAAAGTATGAGATGACCAGGAGGAATGGGATCAGGTTTTTTTTTGTGGGAAGTCCTGTTACTGAGCATTCTTAAACATATTTAAAATATAAGGACATTTCCAGACAGGGAAGTTGTCAACCTTCAGTGAAAGATGAAAAAAGGTCAGCCAGCCTGTTAGCTTTTTGGAGCTCTCGGATATTAACCTTAAAGTTCTGAACATGAGTGCTAGAGATCCCATAAAACACTGAGAAGTCTACAGATGAACAAATAAAACCACAGCAACCTTAATTCTGCCCTGTGGTGGTACTCTGAAGAAAATTCAAAGACTCCGACTTACCTTTCCATCATATCAGCAGTTACTAAAACTTTTCCTAACTTTAATTATGTGGTGGCAAAAACCTCTTTTATAGCTGTTTGCTGGTGTTGGAGAAGTGAAAGCTGGCAGGTAGCAGTGGCTGACAAGTCCCAGTGGCTGATTAGTAGCAGACAGATGCCAGTCATTTTTTCACTTTTTTTGAAGGTTCCACCAGATACATATATGCCTGAACTTCATTCTAATTTGTGTCCAAATTCATAGAATGATATAAAACTCAATAGTAATGTGAAAACAATAAAAACATAGGATGGTGAAGCATTGCACTTGTTATTGAAGACACATGTGAAACCACGTGTGCAAGTAATGTTCAGTGCTTCTCATTTTTAATGTCCAGTTCAAGCTGGACAAATACAGTGTTACAGGGTTAAGGTGGTTGTGATCTTAATTGCTGTTGCAGACTTTCCAGTATTCAGTGTTTAGTTTTTATGGTCAAGTGGAACTTTAACCTGGGGTTTCTAGGCTAATTTTGATGACCAAAATAAATAAGACAGACAAAGGTTTTTTTTGTTGGTTTTTTTTGGTCTAGGAATTATTTTTTCTGCTCCCTCCATATCTATCTATTATTCCCTCAAAATATTTTGAAGGTTCTGTTCTGTCTCCCTTTTCTTATCTGTATGCCAAACCAAAATCTTGGAAGAGTCAAGGGCTTTAAGTTATTTAATTTATCGGCCCAGAGTATATTTGAGGCCCACTGTCTTAGGTCCCCCTCTCAGTCTTTTTTCCACTCTCTTCCTGGGATGGAAGGGCCTACAGCTGAACACAGTATCCCAGGAGAGGACTGCAGAGCTACAGAGAAGGGGCTGCTCCCTCTCCACTCAAGAACTTGAGGCCTCACATATTGAGCACCTCACCTGATTGGTGTTGATGCATATTGGGGCCTGTCTCCATGTGATACTGTCTCTTCCCCTCACCCCGGTCAGGTGCCGGATGTGTTCGCTGACCTTCTACTCCAAGTCGGAGATGCAGATCCACTCCAAGTCCCATACGGAGACAAAGCCACACAAGTGTCCTCACTGCTCCAAGAGCTTCGCCAACAGCTCCTACCTGGCCCAGCACATTCGTATCCACTCAGGGGCCAAGCCCTACACGTGCAGCTACTGCCAGAAGGCCTTCCGCCAGCTCTCCCACCTGCAGCAGCACACACGGTAAGGGCCGGACGAGGCTGAGGGCCTTCCAAACTGCATGCCGCCGTCGTCCCAGCATGCTGCAAACACCCAGCAGTGGGGAGGCCACCTAGGGAGACTTTGCAGTTTCCCACAGACTGCTCTTCCACACAGCAAATCAGCAGTCACGTTCCCCAGCTCCTGGGGCTTGTTGCTACTGACCATGGGGGATAAAAGTCAGGGCAACCTGCACCAAGGGGCATCTGTACAGAGGTGATGTTTTCTGTGAGACTGTAAGGTTCATACTATCAAAGGAAGTCTTGAGTAAGTGTAGGGTTCTCCATTTCCCCATCATCCCAACACAGCTCTGCTGAGCATCTCTGTCTTGACTTTTATCCCCTCTGCTATTCCAGTCACGGGCTTCCCACACACAGCTCTGCCAGTGCCCCTCAATCCAGACTGTACAACTCCTCTCTCTGGCCCCCGGTGCAGATGGGCCTTGATCTCTCAAACTCCAGGGGAGTGCTGTTTGAGACCTAGTGGGTTCAGTCCACATCTGGAGTTCCTCTGTGTAGCCAGATAGTGTGGTACTGTCCCACCCCCTTTGTGCCCTCATTCCATCAGCACTAGCCAGATGGTGGTCGTGTCCAACTGCTGCTGCTCCTCCTCCTCTTCGGCAGGATCCACTCCAAGCTTCACACAGCGATTGTCAAGCCGCACAAGTGTCCTCACTGCTCCAAGAGTTTCGCCAACACCTCCTACCTGGCCCAGCACCTCCGCATCCACTCGGGGGCCAAGCCCTACAGCTGCCGCTACTGCCAGAAGGCCTTCCGCCAGCTCTCCCATCTGCAGCAGCACACACGGTAAGGGCCAGAGGAGGCTGGGGGCCTGGCCTGGCCCCCCCCCCCCCCCCCCCCCCCCCGCCGCCCCACACTGCCGGCATGCACCTGTGGAGCACACGCGCCGAGCATGCGGGGGGCGGGCAGGGGAGACGGCTGGCTGCATCCACAGGAGGACGTGGCCCAAGAGAGGACGGAGTGGAGGCTGCGCAGGAGACACTGACCACGTCAGGGCAGAGGTGGGCACATGCTAGCCCTAGGAATCTTTGGTCATGCACCATGGGGAGCACAGAGAGAGAGATGAACATTGGCTGTAGGGCATCCCCGCCTGGCACTGTCCAGGCAGGGCACTGAGCCTGAGTGTGTGGAAGCTTTTCTGGCATTGCAGGGGGGTACAGATACAGACTTAGCTAATCTTAGTTGGATAATAGGGAGAAGAGAATGCGTATGTACCCCCACTGAGGAGCATGTTGACTGTCCTATGGCATTGTTGGTGGGGGCACAGAGATGCACACACCTTGATCATGTGGGTCCAGAGGCTGGGGCAGAGTGCCTGAACCCACAGACTCCTCTCCTAGCTCTTTTGCACAGGGCCCAGATATGAATCTGGTCAGTTACTTCTGAGCTGTTCATACTTAACCCGATCAATATCTGAACTCTTGACCCTCCATATTTTCCCTATACTTTCTCTTCTGGTTTTGAGCACAAAAAATGGGTCTATGTCCCTCTTATCTGACCCAGTTAATGTCTAGGTACAACTTCACACCCAACCCTGCTTGAATGGCTGTAGGATTTGGTCGGGGCATGAGGCTGTGGAGATCTGCTCTGATATCCTACTTAATGCTTCCCATTTGTGCTCTTCCTCTTTGGCAGCATCCACACAGGGGACCGACCTTACAAATGTGCTCACCCTGGGTGTGAAAAGGCTTTCACCCAGCTCTCCAACCTGCAGGTAAGGTTGCAAGCTCACCCACTTGCTAGTGGGAGAAGTATGTGGTGGTATGGAGGATGAGACTCTGCCTCATAGTGAGGCACCTGCGGAGGTGGGTTTGGGAGAGCAAGGAACAGAATGGAGAAATGCAAGAAAGCTGCTGTAGATCCAGGGAATGTTTAGAGGAGGATTCTGTAGTATTGAGCATGTCAAGCCTTTTGAAATTATGCAAGCAGCATAAAAGTCATGCAGCACTTTTTTTTTCTTTTGGACTGCCAGCTGCTTTAATGGCATGGGCAAAAGGAGTGAGCAAAATGTTGAGAGTTTGTAGGAGATGCCAGTCAGTGTGGAGGAGAAAGAAGGACTGCAGACAGCAGGGAGAGCCCAGGACAGTGCTGAAGAGCAACAGGAATTACCAGAAGGGAAAAGGAGAGCAGGTGGGGAAGGAAGGAAGAGGAGGAGTGAGATGGGAGAGGAGTAGAGCCTGCTTGATGTGGTAGATATGCCTGTTCCAGTACGATGAAAGCACTTGGAGAAAAATAATGCTTGGTACAAGAGAGATTGGGGAAGCGGGGGTAAGGAGGGATGAGAATGCCCCCGGAGGAAGGGACCCAGAGGCCTTGTTACTCAGGGCACCAGGAACTAGGGACCCTAAGACCTGAGAAGTCATCTTCAGCTCTAACATCCAGTTCCTCCTATTTTCCTTCTTCCTCCATCCCTGCTCTCATATCTGCAGTCCCACAGACGGCAGCACAACAAAGACAAGCCTTTTAAGTGCCACAATTGCCACCGTGCGTACACAGACGCTGCCTCCCTGGAGGTTCACCTGGCAACGCACACGGTGAAGCATGCCAAGGTCTACACCTGCTCCATTTGCAGCCGGGCCTACACCTCGGTGAGTATCACTGGGTGGGGGAGAGGGGTGCTAGAAATGTTCCCCAAGGTTTCAGGCCTTTCCTTCATCGTGAGAGGGGTATCTGGAGTTCTGGTTCCTGCTGTCCTAACTCTGACTCCTCCCTTGCCCTTTCACAGGAGACCTACCTGATGAAGCACATGCGGAAACACAATATCCCTGACCCACAGCAGCAAGTGGCTCAGGCCCAAGCCCAAGCCTCTCAACAGCAGCAGCAGCACTTCCAGCCGCAAGGTGGTGGGGCAGCAGGGGGCCCCTCTGGAGACACTAATCCCCCTAACCCTCCCCCACAGTGTTCCTTTGACCTGACTCCTTACAAGACTTCAGAGCACCACAAGGACATCTGCCTCACTGTCAGCACCAGCACCATCCAGGTGGAGCATCTCTCCAGCTCCTAGAGACCATGACCCCAGGAGCAGAAAACCTCTCATGCATAGCCTGTGCCCAGGGGCACTGCTTGTGCAATGGTCCCTCCTCGTGCAACAGCCTCTGGCCTCTCCTTTAACAGCCTCTCCTGGCCATATACCCTGTCAGTGGCAACCCCTTAAGTGACATCCTGTCTCCAGAGGCATCCTTTTGTGCAGCAGCCTGCCTGATAGTGGGGTGCTGCCTTGTGTAAGAGCCCCACTCCAGTGTTGGGATCGCTTCCTTGTGCAAGAGCCCTACATTCTACACACAAAGCAAAGCTCCCTTTTGGCCTTCTCTATAATTGTAAAATTATATGTGCAGGCTATGGGGGGTGCCCCCTGGGACACGCAGGGTAGATAAGATGGAAAGAGGGTCAGTGTACATCGGGGCTTGGACACATGCTGGTGGCAGACCACAGAAGGGTCTGACAGCTGGAGGTTTTTTCTTTGAGGATTTCCTTGTGTGTCTAAAGGAGAATATTCACTCTCCTCTCCTGCTTGTGAAGGGGAGGATGGGGGGTTACTTGTCCTGCCATAGGGCCCAGTATGGGAGAAATCCCCCTGCTCCCTAGATGAAGACAAGAACTTTGTGGGAGAGAAGTGAGGGGTGTTCCCAAGGTGCCTAAGCTGCTGAGGGGTGCAGAGGCCTGTAATCTCTCCTTATCAATGGAGAGTAAGAGGAGTCTCTGTGAACTACTTGCTCCCTCTCCCTCCCAGCTGTAGGAGGAAGGTGGTGGAGGAGACCCCCACAAAGATACTAGAGAATGGGGTCCAGCTCATTGCTCTGCCTGACATTTGTGGATGATGCAATAGTAGCTTGATTTTTTTCCACCCCCTAAGAAGTCTGCAGGCATCAACAGCAAACCAAAAAGCAGTTGGAGATGAGGGTAAGAGACTGCCACAATGATCATTGTTTCCCTCTCCCTAATCCCTCTCCAGGAAGACGTGGCAGCAGTTCTAACTCTCAAGCACCCATCTTTCCCCTCCCCACCTCCTTCCCCCCAGTTCAGTAATCTGCCTTCTGGTTCCCAAAGCAGGGTGGGGGGAAGTGGCACAGATCTAAGGAGCCAGCATGAGGCAGGGAAAGGCTAGCTTCTGCTCATGTGTTATCATGGGCACTCCTAGGCTCCTTCTTGCCAAGACAGGTTGGACTCGCATGGCAGTGGTGGCATTTTAGATGGAGAGAATCAGAAAGATTCCCCAGAAGATTGACAGTGGAAAGGGGACAGATACCCCACAAGGAGAGACCAATCCAATGAGATGGGGGAGCCACCAGGAATAAACTGAAGGCTCCTTGAATTTATATATATATATATATATATATATATAAAAATATAAATATATATATAAATATCTATTCCCCAATCCTGGACCGCTCTGTCCTTGCTGTAACTGTTTCTATCTCTGTGTTTATAAAAATGCATTATCCTGGGGAAAAAAAATTTTCAATCTTTGTTCTTCCCTCTTTCTCTCTTTGTCTCCAGCTTCCCCCTCCCCCCTGACCATCCCCTTTCCCCTCTTTTTTTTTTGGTTTTGGTCCATGTGATTTATGGTTTTTCATGTCATTTTTTTATTTATCTGGCTTTCAATTTGGATTGCTAGATCATGGAGGCTGGTTCAGAAGAAAGAAACAAAGGCAAAGAAAAATTGTTCGATGTTGGGATTTAAAACAAAACTCCAGGATTCCAAACTTCTGTATGAAAGAGGGCTTTTTAAAAAATATTGTATAGAAATAAATTTGTGTAAAAGGCTCCTTGGGGCATGGAGGTGCTCATGTGCGCATGAATTGTGAGCACCTGCCCCAATGCACAAGGTAAGAATGTGTGAGAATTGTGTGTTCCTTCCCTGTGCACCATAGCATGTGAGAGCAGTATGTCATGTAACTGAATCCAGAGCAGTTGTGTGAATGCTAGAATAGTGCAGCCCTACCTTTGTCAACAGTGGGACATGAGCAGCAGCTCCACAGAGAAAATTGTGCACTTGTCTTTTGCACCAGATGCAAGTGGGCTGGAGCTGAGGATTGTTTACATGCATCTGTGACCCAGGCACTGCAGTGAATGGTGGTGCTGTTTCATGGAGTCATAATTTAGGGCCAGAGGGGGCCACCAGATCATCTAGTCTGACCTCAGGTATATTTTAGGACATTCATTTTCACCCAGGTTTTTTTTCTCATAGAAACCATTAAGTTGTTTAGCAAAAACATATCTTTCAGGAACACATCCAGTCTCTGATAAGATGGGGAACCCACCATTTCCGTTGGTAGTTTGTTTTAATGGTTAATCACCATCATAGTTAAAAGTTGCAGCTAACTTTTAATTTAAACTAGTCTGGCTTCAATTTCCAGCTACAGGTTTTTATTACATGTTTTCCATTAAATTAAAATGTGCTTACTACCCAGTGTGTCCCCTTCCTCCACCCCATCTCCCCCAAAGTACTTAACCACCATTATTAAATTTCTCCATTTACTTTTTGATAAGATAAACAGATTGAGCCCCCAAGTCTCTCACTGCTAACTAGTTCCTCCAGCCCTTGCATTATCTTTGTGGTTCTTTCTACATCGTGTCCATTTTTTTTGTCAGCATTTTTTAAATGTGGATGCCAGAACTGGAGTCAGTATTTAATCACCAATGATGTAGAAGGGTGATTTCCCCTCTGCATACGCATTAGTCCTCCAAGATTCACAACAGCATTGCACATGGCAAACTCAGTGTTGAGTTGCTTTCCACGATTATCCCTAAATCTTCAAAGTTGCTTGTTTTCATGAGCTGGTTCTCCCATTTTGTAGCTGTGGCCTTTACTCTTTGTTCTTAGTTACGCAATTTTTGCATTTGGCTGTATTAAAACGCTCTTTGTTTAAATGGGCTTAGGTTTGCCAAATGGTTTGGATCACCATATGATTGCCCTATCTTTATGCCCTCCAGATTTTATCAACAGTGGTTTTATACTTCTAGATCAGTTAAGGAAACTTGTATTACATCTCTCCCTTGTGCTAGTCCCTCTGAAGCCCTACTGGAACCCCTCCCCCCCATGCTGATTCTCCATTAACTGAGATCTGTCAGCCTGTTCTTGATCCATTTATTGTATGCTCTATATTGTATAGTGGGGAAAAAGAATTGATGTTGTATGGTACCAAGTCAAATGCCTTACAAAAGTCTATTACATCTATGCAGTCAGCTTTAAAAAAAAAAAAAAAAAAGATAATCTCATCCAGGAATGGGATTAGATATTTTGGCAAAACCTTTTTTTCCATAAAACAACGTTGACTAGTTTGGATCAGAGATTTATATTCCTGTACTTTAATCCTTTACCAGTTAAATCTTTTATCAATTTTTCTGTTGTTTTGTCTGGGATTCCTGTCAGGCTAACCAGCCTTATTATACCTCGAGTATCCTGCTGGTCCTTTTTAAATACTGGCACAACATTAGCGCTTTTCTGGTCTTACAAAATTCTGCTGGTATTCTAAGATGTATTAAAAGTGAATATTGACTGGCCAGAGTTCTACTTATTCAACCATTAGTATTCTTGGGTGCAAGATATTTATGCCTCCAGACTTAAAAATGTTGTCTGATAGATGTTGTCTAATATCCTTCTCCATTATTACTGGACTGGAAAGAATGCCATCCTCATAATTAGAATATCATCCAATGTCTTTCTGAATTTAGAAGTATTTGTTGACTGCTTCTGCCTCTTGCATTGTTGGCCTTTGTACTATCTGTCAGTGGACTGGTATTATTGCCAGGGTTTATTTTGTTCCGAATATACTTTGAGAGAAAAACAAGACCAAAAATACAACCTCCTTAGTCCTGCCATCCTGGGCTTGTCCTCTGATGACTTCAGCTTCCCATCTTAACTTTTTGCACTTTTCATAATTCTAAATTTTTATATTGATCAATATCTGGTTTTTCATTTTTCTATTATGTTTTTGTTTCTAATTGCTATCATGACTTAGTCAGTGAACCAAGGTGAACTTTTACCTAAAGTTTTCCTCTTTCTTGGTTGGGGATATCATAGGTTTTGTGGCTGCGTAATAAACTGTTCTTGAACTCACAGTGTTCATTTAGATATTTGCCTAAATTTTTCCTTCTAATCTATTTGACCCAGTTTTCCTCAACTCAAGTAAATTGCCCTTGTGAGATGCTGTCTGTATGTGTGCCCGATTTACTAAATGGAACTATCTTCTGTTGGCCCGTGTTGAATGTTACTAGGTCATAATCATTGGTCCCTTGACAAATATCAACTTCCAGATAAATGATTATTTCATCTTTATCCCTCATACTGAGGTCCACATTTTTTACCTTGCATTGGATGAAATTTCTTATGTTGGAAAGAAAATGATTTCCAATATTAGGAATTTGAATTATGTTTTACTAACTATATCGGACCTCTCGTAAATGTCTCCCATAGCAACTGTTCGTTGCAGGCAGGTACTGAGAGAGCAATGTGCTGTTCTCTGACTTGATTCAATTGGTCTGTAACAGACCCTGATGTAGGGGATACTTGCTTCTGAGCTTTGTTAGTCAGCACAAGGATCCAGAGGCATTCCAAATTCCTATGTCAAAACTTCAGACGTTACCTACAGCCCTTATGCAGTCACTTCTTCTTTGTGAGCCATTTGTAACCAATGACTTTACCATTCCAGTCATCCACAAAGTTCTGGGAATCCCAGTTCTCAGCTCCTGAACCGAAGAGAATGTCCAGTTCCCTTTTTTTCTTGTTACACATACTTATAGCACTCATATACAAGTACTGAAAATGTCTTCATTATGTGTGAGAAGCAAGATTTGTTTGGTTGTAACTTTTATTCATTATGTGTCATCTTTGTTCTGCTTGTTTACAATATTTTGAATTTGAGTTTGTTTCCCCTCTCTCTCTCTGCACCCCCTTTTTCTGTTTAGTTGATAGTCTGTCAGGCTGCTCCAATTAGTTTCTAGGTAACATAAGCCATTCCTAGTTGTGAGATGCATAGTCCCATTCATATATGCACATGCCCTCTGCGGTTGGAGGTGAACTAATACTTGACAGAAC